AAATAATATGATGACACTGATCTGGATTCCGTCTCTAGAGATAAGATGCTCGTAAAATTATTGTTGAACTCGTCGAGACCGCCTTGGAGCTTCGGCAGCTCAAAATCGACACCATAGCATTGATCTTGAATTTTACGAGAATGTCCCATATGTGCGGCATACGCTTCCAAAGCTCTTCGGACGCCATCAAGATCCTCGCCAGCTTGCTGCAAACTTTGTGAAACTGTAAATAAAAGAAAAATATTTTTTAAAAATAATTTTTATTTCCTTTAATTTTCCAAATACAAATATTAGAATATATGCTTCTATCGGTACACCTATAAAACCCAAAAAATAATTATTTTAGCAAGTCAGTTTTACCATTTGTATAAACCTTTGAAAATATTATTTGTTTGAACTGGTAAAATTCGCTGATCCCATATGAGCAAAAAATATATATTGAGAGCTCAAAATTTGGCTCAAAAATACAGAATTTTTCATACCGGGCCTTCCGGGCCGGGCACGGGGCTTGAAAATTTCCCCAGGTAAGGAATTTCACAAGTATGGCTTTATTGAAATCTATCTGGCCACTTGATTCAGTACAAATTTTACATTTTTGCAACGGAGTATTTCGATACTTAGAAAAACTATTAGTTGGAAAAAATACCGTTTCGTACAAACTTCAAAATACTGAAAGTTTGATAAGTACAATGGGCAACACTCTTTCACATTTTTCTTCAATTTAGAAATCATTTCCCATTACAGTAAAAGCCCGCAGTGGGAAAATTTTCGATTTTCAGTTCATTACCGCTAAAAAATTTCATTTATAAATACAAATGTTTCAGTAATCAATTTTCGAGATATTCTTTTATTCAGATACCCTGAATTCTTTGTAAATGTGACTAAACTTTTTATTATATTCTCGGATTTCCTTTTCCACCCACAAAAATTTTCGAAATATTCATAATGTGTAATCCTAGTCATAAATCTCTTACAATTGGAGTATTGACATATGCATAAACATGACTGCCTTCACATAGTCATCTTTAATTGCTTTGGTTTTGTTCCGGTACAGTGTCATGTCATACTCTGAAACACCTGCTCCTATTGTATCCTGGGAAAGAGTCTACTAATATCTCATCTTTATACCATCAATAATAGGACTCCAATCGGGGTGCTTACGTGGACTAGCCAGATAACAATGACTTTTGTTGAAAGGGTGTTTTTTTCAAGTTTTTTACAATAGATTTTTTGAAAAATTAAAGTAGGAGAAACGTAATATTTTGCAAGACTGAAGATGATCAACTCATACCACTACTAGAAAACATATTTTTTAATGCTTTGAAACAATAAATGATCTCATGTTTCCCATGAACGCTTCTGAATATTTTTTTCTCGAGTCACCTAGCATCGTAAGAATAGAGAATCAGTACGTTTTGGGATATATTCTGTTCTTTGAAAAGTCCACAGAAATCGATATTTCCTGAATTTTATCGCAGGAAATTCATGAAATTCGATACCTTCGAATTTCAAATAAAATGGCGTAATCAAATTTTAACTAGCTGTAATAATTTTGGCTGGAAGACTCTTTGTCTGTAATTTCTTCCCAGGAGCACTTTTACACTCCCAGCCAGAGATGCAGACGACGAGAGACAGTGGGCGGGGCTAGTCTGCGGACCCCTAAGCCCCGCCCCCTGCCTATATAAGGACCTCAAAAACCGGCATTCATTACCCAGTCATCTCGACTAGCTCTCTCTTTTTCGTCTCATTTATTCTCTAACTATGATGTTCGATTTCCGTTCTCTTATGGCTGAAATTCATGGAATCACTCTCAATGACGGCAACACCGGAATCAAGAAGCGTGTCAGAGCGAATGCTCAATATCTTCGAAATGAAACGGATCTCTTCCTGGAACACAGTATTGAAATTCAAGGAGAGAATCCAGAACGTCCTCGTCTTCCAATGTGGTTCACAATTGCTTTCAATGAACTCAAATCGGAATTTAATTTCAATCAATCATCAGGATTCTCTACTCAACATGTTTCCACGTATGACCCAAATGGGATTGCTCACTCAATTTGGAGAGAACGATGATTTCCCGAAACAAGGAGAAAATGGATTATTGGAGGAGGATCAAAATACATTGGAATACCAAATTCATCAATTCTTGAAAGATGTGACTGTCTATGTTTGGAATGCTCATGTCTTCACAAAACAAGTCAAGGATCTTCCAAAAGTCTACTTCATCACTCTCGATTATTTCAAAAGAAAAGCCGAATCGGAAGAAATGAAACATCTCGTCCAAATGGTTCCAATCCTTCTTCAAACCTACATTCAACACTTTGACGGAATTCAAAACATCGGAATCGACTACGTTCAACGATGCACTTTCCACCACAATCAATGGATCAAATCGTTTGATAACTATCTGACATTTTTTAAATAATTGTTTCCTTAATAAATTTAATAATCTCAAACCGTTTTCTGTTCATACCAATTAGACATGTGTCTAAATCGAATACACAAGACAGGAGATTTCATAAATCTAACAGACTATTGACTCCTAAACAGCATACTATTGGGTTGAGTGTCTCTTCACATAGTCATAAATCCAGTCTTTTTATTCTATTGTTCCGCATTTGACATAGTCGAAACACATGTTCTGAGTATCAGGTTGGTGACATCTACTGGTTGTGTAAGTTAGGCTTTTATCAACCTTCACTAATCCTTCCACCTTTACTTAAACATTTGGGAACCTTCCACAAAACCATGACATGTTCTAACTCTCAACCCTTTTCTAAAAAAAACTATTGCCTTGTTAATGGTACTGTAGTTCAGAGAACGACGTGCCAATCATCCCAATACATGTATCATCGTTTATTATCCATTCAATGCAACTGAGTAAATTTGATCTGAATTTCTTTTTTTCTCAGAACCTATTTGCTTGGCAACTACATTTTCGTGCACTTTCGAAATAATTTTTATTCAAAGAAGAAATGATAAGAAGTTAATAGTATTGACCGTCTTTATCGAAAACAATTTGAACTCTGTTCCGCAAACTTATTATCCCTGCTCTCCAGAACTCCGATGGTTTTGATGCAAAGTAGTTAGTCAGCCATTTTTCAACTTCATCTCTGGTTTTCCATCAAGATGGCATTGGAGAGATCCAAACAACCAATAACGAGACCGGCACATTCGGTCAGTGGTAAACTATAGAAATGAGTCTTAGTTGTTGACTAATGGTGTAAGCAGAGAGAAAGGAGAGAGTATGGCGAATGGGGAGACAGCAGAGAAGGAAAAAAAACTGAAAAGAGAAGAGAAAGATTGGCGATGAAAACATTTTTAAGCGGAAAAAAAACAAAATGGCTGTCTAGGGGTTTATTCAAAAGATTAGCTGAAAAATTGTAAAACTTAGGAAACTTTCATGGAAAATGGTTGAAATACCATACAAAAATATGTTACAGTTGCCAAATTTTTTCTCTCTTTCCTAACTTTATTTTGAATAGAAACCCATTGAATTTTGGTTGGATTAACTATGAAAAAGTTATTTTAAAATAGCCTATTACTCTGGAATTTTTTTTGTTTTCATTCTTTCCATGCAATTTTTTGTGGTTTTTCCGATTTTCGTGAAAAAAGTTCAAAAGCGTTATTTTCAGAAATCTATAAAAAAATCATTTTTTCAGACCTGAAGAATAATAGTCTATTTTTATTCGTTCGTTTGTTTAAAAAAAAGATCAGTTAATGGAGAAAACACAACTAAAACCTTGAAAAATAACCAATTCCACAAGAAGTTTGTGTAAATTTTCTAAATTGAAATGATCCAATCGTAGTCTGGAATCTCGTCTTCCTCGTCAATGCTGTCTGAAAAAAATTCGTCTGGAGATTGTTTTGATTAAAACATTACATAATCTGATATTGGCCAACTCGATGAACTTGAAAACTTTTGTTCCATTTCTCAGTCCGCACAACTCTTTGACAGAAATTGATCCCTTAAAATTGTTTATATAAATTTAGGACTATTTCCCCTTACCTCGAAACATCTCTGATTCCCATTTTTGAACGATACAATGCACGAAACTTTGAGAATCCCATCCATTAGAGCAGTTTCAGAGACTCTGGGGAACTGAATTTTTTTCCGATTTCTAAGAAAACCACATTTTTCTCGTACCTTGAAAATCTCATTAACTTTTTCAACGTCTTGGTTCGCCAGAGTTTTTCGTTTTTGGGATTTGTGTCGCATTGCGGATTTTGAGCATTTTCGGCGGAATTCCATCTGATTATTATAGGGATCGTTTACCGTAAAGCATTTATTAGAAGGGCCCCTGTAATAGTATAAACCGGCCCTTCTATCACAATATAAACCGGCCCTTCTATTACAGGGCCCTTCTAATAAAGCTATTACGGTAATCAAGTAATTAAACTTTTAAAAAAGTTTATTCTACCTCCAAATGCACATATTCCTCAAATTCTGGCCGTTTTCCCTTCTCTTTTTCCGATCGAATCAGCATAACATGAACTGCCAAAAACGAACGATTACGGTCGTAATGAAGCACTGCTTCCACAAATTTTCGAGGATCTCTAAAGTCTGAAATTTACCGAAGAAACCCGGAAATCCCTGATACCGATAAACCAGAAAAAAGATCCAAAATAAAGAGCTTTATAGTCGTTGATGGATGGTGAGAGATCAGGGATGGATTACTGTAGACATATAAGGATTAGGGAAAACAGAGGGATGGACACAGAACACAATTATAAGGGGGGTAGAATATCGTGAAACCTGTAATAGAAGGACTCCCTACTTAGGCCTAATTCATTTTGGTTCCTGTGAGAAACGTCGAAAAGCGCTCCACTGAGAAAATATTTTTAAAATCATGAAGAATATTTTGCCAGTTGATCACTTTTTGATACCTTTCACAAGAAACTAGAAAAATTGGCTCAAAGTTAGATGACCCATCTATTTTAGGTTTTACGGTATTGTAAAAAAGGTAAGAAGATTTTCAGCACATGCTCAACTGAAAAGTGGGAACTGTCGCTTCGCTTTGACGACGCAGTTTTCCTGACCTTCTGGATCCTTCGAAAGCACTTCGACGACGTTCGACAGTTGGGATTTGGATTGTCTGAAAATTATATTGATTACGTTGTGGACACATGGAATAAATAAATACGATTGCTTGGGTTTTCAAAAAGGTTGTGAAACCGTAATTATTTGTTTTATAAACATTCATATAAACACGCCATCGCGGTTGGGAACCTGAAAAACGCGCGCTTCGTCGCACACAAAAGTTGGCTGCGTGCCAGATTCGAAAATTTTGAAACGTGTTTTGAGAAAAACGTGAAGTTAAGCGTTGTTGAGTCGCTACTCACCGAAAAGCCGCGACGCGACCGCGCTACGCGTCCAAACTGTTTTGATCTACGAAAAAGCGCGGAAAAAACGTAATATTTCAGATTTTTGGCTCGTTCGAGCTACTTTCGCGTTTAAGTTTAGTTTTTTTTGCTGAAAAATAGATTCTAGAGATGCTAACGATAATTTTTATACCAAGAAATCAAAATTTTGTTCAGAAAATCCCACTAAATTCACATAAATAAATTTGTTATCTACAGTATCCGTTTTCGCTCCGCCCCTCGTAAATTGACACGAGCGCCGTCTCCGAGATTTTCGGGTGTCACTTTTTTTAATTCGACAATATGTGTTTTTTGAAATTTTCAAAGCTCGTGAAATGACGGGCCCGCCTGGTCGGGCCGGGCCTTCAAAATTTGGGAAAAAGCCCGGCCCGTTACAGGTATGAATGAAGCAGAATTCGTATGTTCAAAAAACTCAAATTTTGATAGAAAAACATTTCTGTTTCGAATACTCATCTTTATGTTAAATTTAATTTTCCTTTGTTAAAGGTGGGGGGACATGAAAAAAATAATGTTCTCGAAATTCCGTTCAAAGATGCCCCTCGAGGAGTTGAACTTGTGAGGGCGATGATTGAGGGTGCGGCGCCGCTACCGACTGAGCCACGCGGGCAAAGAGAAAGCGCACGCCCGATTGCATACATAAAGGCGAGGACGACAGCTGTACGCAGAGTGACATTAAGCGTTGTACACCGTGACGGTAGAATGCATACTCTAGCTACAAAAAAACTACGAAAAATCTCCTGTCCCCCCACCTTTAAGATTTTATGTGGTTTTTTTGGAATATTTCTTTTTTTTTAAAGGAGGCCAGACACCAAAAAAAAGTTTTCCTGATATTTTGCATAGAGAGCCCCCTTGAGGGGTTGAACTCATGACAGGCAGCTCAGGGGTACAGCGCTGCTACCGGCTGAGCTACGGGGGCGCGAAGGCGCCTGACGACCGATGGTCTACATAAGGGCGGCGCGATTTCGTCCGCCGAACTGTCCCCCTGAAATTTTTTGCTGTCTCGCCTCCTTTAATTAGAAAAAAAAACTGTTTCACCAAAATAATGTACCTGCTCTTTTCGTTATGCGATAATAATTCAGACGAATTAGGAAAATCTCAAATTCTGATAAAGAAAATGTCTGTTTCGAATACTCATTTTCATGTTAAATAAAATCTCCCCTTGCTGAGTTTCTACGAATTTTTTTTTGATAATCAAAAAACCCGTTTCACCGTAACCATATTTTAACACTCTTCATTTTCACGACAGTAAGTAGTTCTCATATGTAGTTTCAAACTCACCGAATCCTCAGGAACTCCAGTCAATGGAGTACTGGACATTGGACGTGGAGCTGGACTTCCGATTGGTTCTCTGAAAGTAATTTTGGAAATTAATAGTCAATTAATGTAGAAATGTATAAAAACAACCAAAAAAAGGAAATACCTTGGATGAAGAGCACGAAGAGAGTCGTTGGGTGCTGGAGAGTTGATCGACATGTTGGCTGCAAATTTTTTCGTTTTCTGTTTCAAAACTATTGAACTATATTTTTCGGAGAATGCCCAGAAGTTTTGAGTTTTGAAAATAAAATAAAAGCCTACAAGAATTAGCGGAGCCAAACGATCTTGGACTTCTTGGCGATGGAGAACCTCCCCAGAACTTTGGAGAGAAATTTGAATTGCCGCCAGCCGATTGAACAACACCTGGTGCTTCATCTGGTACACTTAAGAAGTTGGTTTGAATGGCAGGGAGAGTTAGATTTCGTTTGTATGGTGCTTTTCCTGAAACTTCTAGTTATTTTTGGGATCAAGAATGTGTTAGGTTATTGGTTTTTCCTCAAATTAAAAATCTAGTTATTTAATTATTTCCAAGCTATAGAATTATATCTGTTCACCGCGGCAACACCAGTGATTTTCGACCATTTGTTGGTTTATACTAACAGTGAAACCGTCAAAAAGTTGGAAAAAATTACCTTTACTAATCGCTGGTGGTGTAGCTGGAATCTGAACTGAATTCCTTTTCTCTGAAATTTTCATGGCATTCAAAAGTTTTTCGGATGTCTTCTCCGCTTCGTCCGATCCTTGAACCCATTCGTTTTTTGCGGCGGAGAGTTCTCTGGAAATTCAACATTTGGGAATGTAATATGCTATTTTCAGAAGTGCTAGAACACACCGTACGGTTCATAGTTTCTATAAATAACTACTCTGTCATTAATTCTCCGTTGTGCTGTAGATCACATATGCAATACTAGCGAAAAAATTTCAACTGGAGGTAATTGCAATCACTTTCAGATAACTTCACTGAGGATTCAATGAATGTTTTAACTCAAAAACTTTAATTTTTAAATATTTATTTTTCACCTTTCGCTGTAACAAACTGTGCACAAGCTATATTTCTGTGGATTTTGGGTGGTACCACTAGTCACGGAATGAGCACATTTGTCGCATAGTGGCTGAAAATTCCAATTTCGAATTATATTCAAGATAATTCAAATCTTACTGTAGCGCACTTTTTACACTTGGTTCCACTGTTTAAAATGTATCCCAACGTCGTCTGACAGATCGAACAGACACGATTGTTCCATTTTGGAAGTGGAGAAGTGCGTCTAGAAAATCTAAGAATATTTGAAGAATTTCGGGATGTTTTAATACCCATGAGAAATATTTCCGGGTGAGGAGAGTCCACTTTCAGAAGATTCCGATCCGGCAACTGAACTGGCTCGACGTTTCTCCTGGAGACTTGTCTTTTTGATTGCAACGCATGTGGAGAGGGATCTGAAAAATTATTTTCTGTTACAGAAAAGTATTATTTTAGACATCGTAGAAAAACTTTATTAAACATCTATGATCCTCTTCCAATAGTCGAGAAAGCATGAGCATCGAGGTATAAATTTTGTTAGATACAATCAAGATTCTTGAGTCAAGAAAGTTCTAAAATTGTAAAAGTCCTACTTTCTGTATATTCTTCACAAAACTATTCTAGAAAAAGAATTTCGACCACGGCAGGATTCGAACCTACAATCTTCTGCTCCGTAGGCAGACGCGTTATCCATTGCGCCACGCGGCCATAGTGAACGGGGGGGTCAATAGAAGTACACTTGACAGCTGACCTTCAAGGCTTCCCTCTTTTTCGAGTGACACACACCAGGTCAGTGCGGCAACAAAATTTTTTCGGCAATTTGCCGAATACTTTTCGGCAACGTTCGGCAACTCGGCAATTGCCGAAAAAAAATTTCGACAATTTTCAAAAAAAATTTCGACAATTTTCGGCAACAAAAAGTTTTGCGTCTTTTTTTAGTAAAATCGATACGTAACTCGCCTGAAAATGATTCTATCAGGCTCAAAACTACAGAAAATGTGTTTCATAAGTTCCTTAAAAAAGTAATTACAAAAATTGGCAACTCAAGACCACATTTTTTATGCAAACTATTTCTATTTAGCAATAGAGGGTATTCCAATGGTTGAAAATATTTGTTCCGATTGTGAGTTTTGAAAATAGTGCGCTCAACTTGTTAGGCAACTCACGACACACGTTCCCTAGAGATTTGAGACAGTTTGGATAATTTTTTTGATGAGTTGTGACTCATGATATCTATTTTTCTCCTATGCTCACATATTTGAAGCCCATTTTTAGATCCGATGCAAGTATTTTTGATGATTATTGGGACACATTTCCTCTAAAATTCACTCTGAGGGATGATGGTGTTCAAAATTTGGTTTTTCGAACTTCGAAATCATTTTTTTGACTAAAAAATTGTGAAAATCTCTACATTCAAAAAAAATTTCAGTTGCCGAAATTGCCGAAATTTTTTTGTTGAAATCAGCAACGACAGATCGGCAACGGCAGATCGGCAACAAAAATTCGGCAATTTCGGCAATTTGTTGCCGCACAGGCCTGACACACACACGCTAAACACTAGAGCAATCAATGTGTGACCTATTATTTCATGTTTCAAAAAAGTGACAAAATCAGTGGTCATTTGAAAGATGGTTCACCGCATTTGATGTCCGATGTTGATAGAAATTTCTGTAGATTACTGTATTAACTATTTTTAGGGCAACATCTCTTCAGAAAAAAGTCCCATCCTGTCAAGGTTTCTAGGTCACTATCCTGTAGTGAAAGCTTTGAATAGAGTTCAAAAAACGAAAAATTGCGCGAAGCTTGTAATAGAAGGGCCCCTTAAAGGTGGGGGGACATGAGAAAAATAATGTTCTCGAAATTCCGTTCAATGATGCCCCTCGAGGAGTTGAACTTGTGAAGGCGAGGATTGAGGGTGCGGCGCCGCTACCGACTGAGCCACGCGGGCAAAGAGAAAGCGGACGCTCGATTGCATACATAAAGGCGAGGACGACAGCTGTACGCAGAGTGACATTAAGCGTTGTACACCGTGACGGTAGAATGCATACTCTAGCTACAAAAAAACTACGAAAAATCTCCTGTTCCCCCACCTTTAACAGCAGAAGAACCCTTAAACCTTGAGCCGATTTATCTCGATTCCTGTCAAAGGTATAGAAAAGTTGTCAACTGATAAATTGTTTATCAGAATAACCCAAACATTTTGTAACGGGTGAGGCCTTCTATTAAAGGTTCTACGCTAATATTTCAAACTTCTCTAGAAATTATGAAGACTCAAAGATTACTACTACTGTTAAAAGTTTTAAATGATACTTTTAAATGTTTTGAAACAGAAAACAATGCATTTACAATTAGAAAAATGCTGCATAATATTTTTTCAAACTAACCGAATACGATTCTGCTCCGACTGCTGAAACTCCAAATCCTTTTCGAGAACATTCCGAATCGCTTCTTGCTCTTCTGCACTCAATTCCTGAATTGAGTTATTCAAAGCGTCCCAAGTAGAAGTTTCCATACTGAAAATAATGAGAAAATTCTGGAAATCTAGGAAAAGAAATGCATCAAGTAGTAAAAAGAAGAAAAAAGGGGAGAAATCTGATTGGTCAGAAACGAAAACTTCCGGTTTTCATGGATCGGAAGTGCGTAATTGGACTGAAAAGAGACTAAAGAAGATTTTTAGATTTTCAGAGGGGGCGGATTAAAGATGAGGAATCAAAAGAAGGAGAAAAATAGAAATATAAAAAAAGGAGAATTTTTGAATTGAAATTTGATTGGCTAGGAAGAAAATAGAAGGTTTGATATGGATGACGAATTTGGCATTTTTAGGGTTTCTTTATTTATGAATATGGAAAATGTCAACTAGAAAAATGTTTTGGAATCTAATTTTTAGTTTACAGGAATTCTGGAAAATTTCTGAACAGAACAAAGACTTAAAGGGGGACTCCGGTCAATTTTTTTTTGCATTAAAATGTGTTAAAAGTTATCAATTTTCGAATATTATTGCGAAAAAATTCAAAAAAAATCCGAAATTCCCAAAAAAACGCCGTTGAAAAGGAAGAAAATTCAAAAAAAAGGTGCCGCCGGGGGACGAGGATTTTCAGTGAGAAACCTAGGCCACGGCAGCGGGCGCCTTTCCTACGTGGCAAATTTTCCGGATTTTTTTCAATTTAATGTCCGGCAGGTAAAAAACGTAAAA